GGGGGGGGGGAGAGGGTGGGGGTTGGGCCGAAATGCGGACACGGCCTCTTTAATTGCCGCGTGTATCAAGTGGACTTCCGTCAGTAACGAGTCAGTGTCCTAGCATGAGGTTAGCATGGGGTGGGTGGAGGTGCCCTCTTTAGGGAAGGATGGAAAAGCCAAGGCTGCTGCTACTGTAAGTGTTTTCACAGCCTTTCCCCCAGAACGGGGTGTTAGCCCTGGTACCCTCCATAACTGTGCCACAGGGAGTTTCCAGTAGCGTGTGATCCTTCTCTTCTGACCTGTCACATTGCCGCGTGCCACCAAAGAGCTGAGCTGTGCCACCCAGAGGACGCTGCCTTTCGGTGGCAAAGGAAGTTATTCTTGCATGGTTAATTTAAAAAATACTGCATGGAAACTGCTCTATCGCCAAGGTTTCCCCCGCGGGGCATTCGTAACGTCCAGTGACTTTAATAGGAATAACCTGTGTGGGCAGGGACTCGGGGAGATCCACTTATCTAGTACCTCCTGGCTTGGAATATTCAGTATCAGCATTTCCTGCCCACTGAGTTCATCTCTGTACAAACTAGAGGGGACACGAATGAGGGACTAGCTTTTATGGGACCAACTTCTCTTGGCAAGAGAGACACGCTCCCAAGCTTCCCCAGAGCTCTTTTGCAGGTCTGGGAGCTGAGGAATCATTGCGATTTCCACACGGACCCCCACTACAAGCTTACTGATGGGGGGGGGGGGGGTGAGCTGGCTGGACTCGGTGCTCTGTTCACAGTAGATACAGTCCAACCAGAAGGAGAACAAGCTCCCTCTATATTGTCCCGTGCCGCTGTCTCTCAATCCTGACCTGGAGGAGCCAGTGAGCCCTCCAGAGGTTAGAAGAGAGTTCAGTGGCCAGGATCCGTTCAATCCTTGGCCATCCCAGAGTCTGCCAATAAAGTTGCCAATTAGTGATGGTGGCTTTTATAGGACATGACCATTGGTTTGCTGAAAACTGGGCTAAGATTAAATTTATTTCGCTCAAGCCACTAAACCACCTTCAGAAGATGGGAATGTTCACGGTTAGCTAGGGCAGAGAGATGCACTAGGTCCCATCATGCTCTCTGAGCTCTCCAGTTTGTAGCCTGGCTATCTGAATGGTAACATCTGGATACGTGAACAAGGACTTTGAAGAAGACATTGTGATTGACAGCTGTAAAAGTCTCAGTCTCCCATAGCTAACTCGACAACGAAACTTACTATGTGAAACAGTGACCTTCTCCCTCTAAAGGCCATGTTCTCAGCCACTGGTGCTCTGATTTAGTTGCCTCAGGAAGTGTGCTGTTGCTACCTTCATTAGCCTGCGAACAAGGTGGTAGCCTCAAGGCACAAAGAATCCACCTGCTCTTAGAAGAATTCCAAATGATCTAATCCAGACCCTTTGGTAACAGGGATAAAATGCATCTCCAGTGGGCTAACCAAATGTCTTACCCCTCGCTAGAGTTAAACGTACAGTAGACATTTTATTTCTATTGCTTTACTTTTGTATTGTTCTCCTTATTTTTAGAAATCTAAAACATTTCCAGGTAAAGTCTAATGCTGCTGCGTTGGGGGTATTTCTGCTAGGCATAGTGAAAGCAGTAAAATAGTCTGCAGCCTTTGACCTTAACTTCTCAGGTATCCAGAAAGTCAATCACCCCCTGTGCACACAGAAGGCAGAGCAAGCAAGTTTCCCTGTTTTTTCTGAGGTCACTGAATGAATTGGCCAGTGAGTCCCAGTCACGTCTACTACAGCACAGCTGTGGTTTTTTTAATGACAACACTAACCCTGAATCGCTAAGCTTTTGTTAATCACTCTGTTCCCCACCAGCCATTACTGAAGAAAGAGGCAGCACTGAAACCATGGACTTTTCAACCCATGGACTCCTGTCAGTGTGTGGTTAAAAACTTCCAGAACAGGGAGCGTCTGTGAGTAGAGGCAAGGATATGACTCTCTCATTCTGCCTGCCTAAGGAAACACCTCAGAAGGGGATACCTGGTACAGTAGCCAGGCATAGCAGAGGGAATGCAAAACGAAACGGAAATCCAATCATAAGCAGCCAGGTGCACCTGTCTGGCTCTTCTACTCACATTGGTACTGCTTGGACTGTGTTTGGGGGCGTTGGACGGCTGGGAGCGGCTGCCTGAAGTTGGCTTTGGGGCATTTGGAACCTGAAAATGATAAGCACTTTATTCTCTGTTCACTAGTGGACTGTGGAGGAGAGATGCAGCGGTGAGAGGAAGAGAGCAAGAGCGGGAGAACAGAGCTGGAAGAGGGCAAGCCTTTTCCCTAGAACTGGAAACATCCCCTCGGGGGGATGGAAAAACAGAAAAACTGAGAGAAGAGGACAGGTCTGCAGTTGATTACACGGGATTTTTCAGGTAAAGTGAGAAACATTCCCCGCAACCCAAGGTTTGATTCTGTAACATTTCTGTTGAGAACAGAGGAGGAAAATGTACGCGAGGCCCACCCAGAAAAACACTGTACAAAACACCAATCAGCAGAAAAGCAGCGGTTTATAAAATAAAGCCCCTTTGAGTGCATAACAGCTGCTCTTCAGCAGTATGGCTGAAAGAAACCTGGGCCAGCAATCCAGATTATATAGAAACATTATGTTCCAAGCTCTGGGGATACAGTTAGACCAAATTAACAGTAAGAGCCAGGAACGTACCAATTAGAAAAAAGCATTGTATGTGCACACAAACAACGGTTGACGAGCCAGTCTTTAACCACCTCACCTCAATCTTCTGGCTGAGCCGCAGAGCAGAAAAGTAAAGTATGCCTACAAAATCACCTCTACAGGAGATTACACACGCTCCAACCCCCAGAACATCGCACATCCATGGAGGATACAATTGTACCACACACACAATGTATGCCAAGCTCTGGCAAACTGAACTGCGAGACATTAATCTCAGCACAAAGAGAATAAAAACCTGATTCAATGAAAATTACACTTGTACTCCTTGGTAGCTGTGCTCTTGCTACACCTGGAAGAAAAAGCTGTTATCTAGCTGTGAAAAGGAGGAGAGGCCTTTGATTTAACAAGTTTATTAAATAAAACCCACCATGGAGGTCTTCGGGATCTTCTTGCAATAACTTATGGAAGACTTTGATGACAAGAGTTGATGCAGAACCAAGACGACAACCACACCTGTGTATCTCAAGGAGGTGCTTACAGAGCACGCTCTGCACCCCACACAATTTTCAAGGCAATATTTACAGCCCCTCAAAATCGAGTGAGTGGCTCAAGATGCAGAAGCAGGTGACAACGTACAGAGTACATGGCCAAGCACCAAGTTTGCCCCCAAAGGCTGGATACTTGCAGGCCACGGATGCTGCACTCCTCTCTACTGCATCCTGTAAGAGGAGCTGAAGGGATTCATGTCAGCTTTTTCAGACAGCACTGCTTAAACACGTTTTTAATCTGACAATTGCATCGAGTCAGTGGAACGGAGAAAGGAGAGCCAGGACTTCACTCCAGGTGACACCCTCACTCAGGACATGAAGCAGGGGCATTTTGAACTTCAACAGCAACAGCTGTCAGCATGTTGGGCATAGGGACAATGGAAAAATTAGCAGCAGCAAGCAACAGACACTCCCACCTGATCACCCTCCATATTTAAACAGTGGCAAAGCTGCTATTGCTTCTAGCATCCAGACTCTGCCTTCCCAGAAACAAATAATTACTTTCAGGGTAAAACACTCTGGCATGGACCCTTTGTCTTGCTACGAGCTGTGACTGGTGGGACAGGTGGCCTGGCCCGACAACACAGGACATCTTTAAAGCCTAGCGTTTTTCAGCATCCAGATGGGAATTTGGCATTGCTCCACCCACTCAGCTCTAGAGACCTAGCCATACTACCGCCATCTGAAATCCACAGTGTGTATGAACACTCACCAGCTCAGCAAGCCTCGGCAAGCACACCTCCCTACTTCCACTGCAACCAGCAGCCTTGAATGTGAGACGCCACTTTTAAGTTAGTAACTAAACAAAGATCAGAACTGTTCACCCTCAGAAGCTTTTCAAGTTTTTCTCCTGATACAAGTCCTCCTTGCTTTAGATCACTGGGGAATGGGTCAAATGCTCGTCTGAGAAGTGGAACAGGCGCTCACATATTAAACCTGCTACAGCTCAGGAAAAAGTCTACCTACATACTCTGCAGAAGTCTTAATTCTGTCGTGCTGATCTGCCTGAAAAAAATATTCTCAAGACACCACATACAAAAGCAGTACAAGAACAGTTAGTGGAAAGATAGGTTATCCAGGGCCCATACTTACATTCCCACCTCCAGGGACATGCTTAATATTGTCCTTGGAACCACACTTGGACTGAACATGGCTGTAGTTCGCTTTTTTGGAGACTATCTGGACCTGGAGTGTTACAGAATGGAAAAACGACACAAGGGAAGAGGACTGGTTAGAATTGTCATACGGCAGACTGGAGTCATGCTGCGACGTGATGGATAAACAAAGAGCTGTGTTAAACTTCAACCCAACTTCAGTATTAGGTGTGAAAGAACTGGAGAGAGAGAGAGAGAGAGAGAGTGAACAAAGGATAGAGGCAGAGCACAGCTAAGCAGACAGTAGTAGTAGTGACAGCTTTAGTGCTATTATGGAGGACAATGTTTTCTGAGCGCAATGTACAGACCAGCGTTCCAAGAGTGCCTGACTGCAGCTCCCCACGTGGAGATCAACAACAAGTCTCTCGCAATGACTTCCTCAAGGGATGCTCAGCCATGCATTGCAGCACTGAGAACTGGCATGGTCTTCTCCGTTCCTTCACTCGCACACTTTCACCTTGTTGAGCCAAGTCGCTGCCTCTGACAACCTACCAACTGGTTAGTCTCTGCAGTTTCAAACCTTTCCAGTTTCCTGGGGAATGACTCAAACATTGGACAATGCATCTGAAAACCTCTCAGCAGTAAAGCCTAATCCTGAAAGCAATGACTACATGGAAGGGTGTCAAACCACCAATTTAGTTTAATTGGCACCAGGTCTGATGCTAGCCAGATACAGGAGAAACAGATTATCTAACACACAAACAATTCCAGACCCATTAAGCACACGAAAAAGCTAAGGCTATGAGCCCTCAAAAGCTAAGGGAATGCTACCACTCTATTCTTAAAAAAACAATCCTGTAATGGTAAGTCCCCGAGTTCAGTCCTAGAAGTTACTGACTGTACAGCAGTCAGAAACACCAAAGGTACAACAAGATAAATTAAAAAGAGGCTGAAAGCTTTACCGCTTACAGCACTTTGTTTTTGGACACCGAAGACGCCACCAGTAGCTAGAACCATCAACAGATCCATAGTTTCAGAAGGTTTTTCAAAGGGTACTTGCTGATTTAGGTAGATTGGATTTAGTGCAACAAGAAGCCTCAAATGTATCCTGCCGTGAAAACTTACCAGTTTGCTCACTCTAATTTTGTGGAACAAAACATTTAAAAGCAAGATCAACGCCATCTTCTCTTTCTACATCCATCCAGCCATCCGTCTAGTCTACCTGATAGTGTATCAGAAGCTAGCACCAGCTCACAAAAACCACACTTTCACTGCCAGCCCTCCTCTTCTCTAGTCCTTCCCCCACAGGTCATATGCTAGAATACGACTTCATGACAGAATCTCAGGATAGAAAGCCAATAACTAGTGGTGAGGGGTTAAAAACAATACTGGTGAAACCCGGGGCGGCCCTAGACTAGCTGACAGCAACTGGAGCCCTAGGCGAACCATGCAATCGGCGTCCCCACCTCCAAACCCCTCAATGATCTTGCGCCACCATTTGGCACCCCATTTAACTTGGCGCCCTAGGCGACCGCCTAGTTTTCCTATATGGATGGGCCGCCCCTGGGTGAAACTAGGCCTGGGCAGCTAAAGGGATGCCGGTAGGTCACCAGTTCTCAATTTTTTTGGTTGAAAGTGCCAGGACCTTAGCTCCTTCTTTCTAATCCCAAAATGGCAGCATCCACAGAGAAGGGAGGTTTTCCTCAGAGAGGACCAGCCCATCAAAAAGGAAAGGCAGAGGATGCCACTCCAGCAATGTGGAAGTCAGGTTCTGAAAAGCTATTTGCGGAGTCACAAGGAATACACCCGACTGCATTTTACTGGCAGTGTCCCAGGAAAGATGTGGAAACGGTGCGCGTGGGCAGGTGGGGGGCAGGGAACAGTGACGCAGACAAGAGAAAGCAAAACAACTAAATAGAAGGGAAAGTGACTCAAGTGGAAAAAAGTTTTCCTTTCATCTTCCAAGGATAAAAGACTGAAACAAAACTCACTTTCCCATTAGGCTGCTTTTGTGCACCCTCTTTTGTTATAGTTGTTTTAGTAGTAGCCATTTTAGAGACTGCATTGGGTTCAGACTTTCGCACAGCACCGGCTGATTCTGGTTTTTTCTCTACTTTAGCCTATATGGAGACAAATGGAGGATGATTTTAACCATGAGAATCAAAGTAAACGATGGGAGAAAATGATAGCGTTCAAATCAACAACCAAGCCAGAGTCAGCGGACTGGACAAGCCAGAGCGATCTCTTTAGAGCTCAACACATTAAAATAGCGAGGCAGTGTGAGATCTCAGATCTGGGACTGGTCAAGCAGAAGGCACGGTCTTACTCAGAGAAGTGAAATGCTCGGAAAAAATCCCTTCATGAATCAGAATTGTAGGGCTCCTTAATGGGGTAGGTGGTCACGGCTCCGTGGAAGAATCATGCTCTTCACAACTGAACACTTGTACCAAATTGTGCCCTAACTGCTGAGCCCGTGCTATAGTTTTTTTAGCTCCATAGGTTTAGCTGGAGATTTCCCTCCCACCGGTAAAATGTTACTACCACAGGCGTTCTGCTAGATGTGTCTGCATTTTATTTCCATTACTCATCGCCCAGAGCACCTCCGCTTGATTCATGTGGTAAATTATGCTGAGTACAGGGGTGAAGACACATGACTCATCGTATGTATTAAGGTTTAGTCAATCTAGAGGGGTGCAAAAGCAAAAAGTTGCACTTAGTTCAACATGAGGATTTGTTGTTTTCGAAAAATGCAGCGTCTGCCTGAGAGGCACCACTTTTCGGTCGATTTCTTACTTTTTAACCAATGCTCATCACAAACGGTGAGTGCACCCACGGCTAATTTTTTTATTTAAAGATAAAGGTTTCTGTTCCCTGCTGACCCAATTAACACAGCAGTAAAACAGGCAACACTTCAAAGCCGTTCTTCTTTGGAGAGGGTCCTAACAAACAGAAGCAACTTTAAAAGCCCTGCAAAAAACACAAGCCTCTTTAACACACACACTATCAGGCATTACTGATGTTATGAAATGGAAATGGTACAATAAAACGAGGGAAGGTCTCCTGTACCGCTAGAACCAACAGCCCTCAAGTCTAGGCAGAACACTTTCCATGCCTCTAGAATTCTTACACAGTCTTTGATCCGATTTCTGAAGGACCTTAATGGTGTTTAGTGAAGTTCTATCTAGTCTCAACTTGCGTTCAATTTGAGAGCACTCCTCCCCTGGTTCTCACTTCCAGGGCTCCAGCCAGCTCTGGCTTACCCTATTTGGATCCTTCTCCCTCTCTGGATGCTGGCACAGCTTTCCTTACATGGCCTGACATTCTCGGTCAGTACTTAGCCATCCACCTTCAGTGTACCCCCCTGCATACTTCCAGCAGCACTCTCTGGGCTTCTTGGCTCTGGAAACAGGTCACGTCCTTCTACCGTTCTAACATGCAGGACTTTACACAACTTGGTGGTACCTTATTTTTCAAGTAGGTGATGTGGTTTATGGTACACCCCAATGCAGCTCACGACTGCCCTTAGGATTAGTGCCTTTCAGAGACTAAGGCTCCCACTAAAAAGTGCTTCTCCACGGTTACAGAGATCAGAATGGAAAATCAGTTTCAGAATGGAAACCACTCCTCTGTATTGAAAGGAAAGGTGCGGCAGTTCACTCCATTTTACACAAAGTAAAGCCCCTGGCCAAAGGCAAGTTGCTAATTCAATACACCATCAGAGTTGGGGAGTAGGTGTCATCTGATGATAGCTTCCCATTTCTACCTCTAGAAGATGGACGGAAATGTCAATTTTGTCTTCGGATGAAAAATGAATACATGGTAATCAGTCTAATGGGTGACCCTTACAAGGAACTCCACGGAAACAGACCAAGGCTTTTCTCATTCAGAGAAGCACACGGGAAAAATTAATGAGCACCTCTGCATTGAATGAAACAACATGCTACCCACTCCTTAAACTGGGGCATCTGCTTTTTCCCATGGCAGTGCTCAGTCCATCCCCCTCTTCCTCAGTTATCTGTCTGTGGCCACCAGAGGGGGTCCTACGACTAGCACATGCGGCCCCCCTCCACCTCTGCTTGAGGTGATAACCTTTGCAGGAGAGATGTAGGTCCCGGGACTTGCTCCTTAATCCAGACTGTCTGTGTAGTGGCACATTACTTATCTGCTGTACAATTCAGCAGACCTAAATCCTCTGCTCAAACAGATCGTCTGACATGTAAATGCGCTTGGTGGTGTCACACAAGCTGGTCTCCAGATCAGGAGTGTGCCTCTGTTTCTCCATGGCAAAGAGCTGAGGAATTCTGTTCATATTCCATACTCTTCCGTGCAACATTTTAATGCGTACTTCTCTATATGCTAATGGTGCTTCCTTGCAATTGCCTTGTGCACATGGGGAACCCAGAAGGAGCTCTGCAGAGTCTGAATACGGGAAGGCAGTGAGCACAGAGTAACTGAAAGCAGTAAGGACCAACAATGGCTCTTAAGTGCAGGTGAGCAGTCCTAGGAACCGACTGAGGAGACTTACCCTTCCTCCACCAGGCTGATGTTTAATGTTATCTGTGGATCCGATTTTGGATCGTATGTTCTTCAGGTCCGGGGCAGACACGCTGCTGGCTGGGCGAGGCGGCTTGGCAACAGGGCTGGTTTTAAGTGGTGCTTTAAATGTTGATGGTATTTTAGCTTCTGGAGTTACGCGCAAAGCTGTGGTGGGTCTGGCTGCAGCTGGCTTGGGTTTGGGGCGGCTGGTGGCTACTCCCGGTGAGGCAGGAGTACCTGGGGTGGTAGCCGTAGGGGTGGTGGCACTGCTTTTCGAAGCGCTTGCAGGAGCACTCTTTGGGCGGCTCAGATCTGCTGCAATAATCATGGCAGAAAGGGAAGACTGAGTAAATAATCACCTCAAGCAGGCAGATACCCAACTGGAAAGATACACAATAGCGCGTTGATTACACAGTTCTGCAGTCAAGTAGAAAAGCATTTAGATGCAAGAACCGAAGGAGGTTACCTGATGGTGACTTCATGGGGGTCTTCTTAGCATCTGCAAGCTTTGTTTCAGTCTTGATAGCTAAAAAGTACAAAAGCTGTCAAACTTTTCTGCATTTTTTCATTGAGAACAGATGCATTGGTGCTCCTGGAAGCGAAAGCCAATGCACAGACTGATCCTTTGGGCATGCTAGCATAGCTTCTACGAGTAGCCAGGCATTCTTTGCTGCTCCTTAGCTATCAGCTCCTTCTGCAATGTATACTTGTCCTTTTTTGGATCTCACGACTGCCACTCATTTTAGGGTTACTTTCCTGCTATTTAGAGGGAAACATCAAAGCATCACATCACATCAACTGCTCCCCATGCCTGGCTGATCTTGCCCTCATTACAAGAGTGTCATCTTATTTCATGAGATATGGAACAACTTGCCTCCTTCACAGGGAGAATCAATCACACAGAGAAAAATTTCAGAGAAGACTGAGAAAGTTAACAGGGCTAGGCCTCAGGATGGTGAGTGAGAGCTACTTTGTTTTTTTTCATCTTTATACAATGGTTTTCCTATCTCTTTCAGCAATTGCTTGCTGGGGACATTCAACTGATATCTTTCATGACTCCAGCTCTCTGCTTTACTTCCATCAATTTGGGGCCTTGTCTCAATTGAATACCAAATACAAAAATGCATCCTTATTTATAAATTAATGGAGATTGCCTATCTCCTAGAACTGGAAGGGACCTTGAAAGGTCACCGAGTCCAGTCCCCTGCCTTCACAGCAGGACCAAGTACCATCCCTGACCATTTTTTTTGCCCTAAATCCCTAAATGGCCTCTGCAAGGATTGAACTCACAACCTTGGGTTTAGCAGGCCAATGCTCAAACCACTGAGCTACCCCTCCCCCACAGGGATTTATTTATCCTTATTGGCAAACGTATTTAGCTATAAACTTTGGCCTCATCTCTTACCTGATGATAATTTTACTGGATGGTTTTCTGATAAGAAGTTGTTGCACGCAATACAAGGTAACTATTCTGAACCTCATGATGACAGATAAAAATGAATTATTCAAGAGACTGGAAGTTCGTGGTTGCCTAGGGACCAGTGATCATGACCTGATTACATTCAATATAGACAAACAAAAGACAGACCCACGAGGTAATAGATATATTTAGTGCTTTAAAAGAGCTAATTTCTAAAAGTTAAGGAAACTTATGAGACAAACTGAGAGGGAAGAAAAATTTTGAAACAGAAAAAAGTAAATGAAAATTGGGAATTCTTTAAGATACGGTAATTAGATGTCCAAAAACCCATAGAACTCCAACAACAACAGAGGACAACTTTGACTTACAGCCCACCCTCAGGTGGTAAATTGAAATGAACAATTAGAAACCATACCAAAAAAAGACACTAATCAACAGAATAAATTAGAAGTTAGGAAGTACAGAAGATTGATAAGAGACACTAAAGACATTAGGGAAATTCCATGGTGGGCAGGGCTACAGAAAATAAGGAGGTGGGATTTTTTGTTATTAGTATGATCAGGCATAAAAATAATAGCCGTGGTATAGGCTCATTACTAGATGTCTCTAGTAACATTGTTAACGATGCAGAAAAGGCAGTGTTCGATAACTATTTCTGTTCTCTATCTAGAAAGAGGCAGGATAAGGTACTCCTATCACATGAAGTTGAAACATTTTCCAATCCATTAATAATCAAGAAGGATGTTAAATAACATATTTTTAAGTTAACAGGTCTGGAGAACTTGCGACCAAGAGTCCCAATAGTTGCCTACAAAGATCACTGCTCTGCAGTTGCTCATTTTTAAATAATCATGGAGTCCAAGGGAAATCCCAAAAGACTGGAAGAGTGGTAATGCTGTGGAAATCTTTGAAAAGAACCAGCAGGGTGGCAGGGCAGCTGTAGAGTTGTTTAGTCCTGTCACCAATCCCAAGCAAAATAGTAGAAAAGGTCCATAAAGGACTCTATAGGCAAAGAATGAAAGGATCTGAATACGAATAATTCCAGTCAATATGGTTTGGTGGAAAATAGATCTTGTCAAATGCACCTGATTTCACTCCTGATGAAATTACTAGTTTGACTGACACAGGTAATTGCATTGATGTAGCAGACTTTTCTTAAGGCATTTGATTTACTATCACGTGGTATTCTGATTAAAAATGGGCACTATGCAAAAATCAAGAAAACACAAATTCATTGGATTAAGAAGTGGCTAACTGAGAAAGCAGAAATGAGGAATCGTCTTCACTGAACAGGAGTTTCAGAGGTAGCCGTGTTTAGCAGTTTCATGTTGCAGCCTGTTTTTGAAGTTTTTCTGCTTGAGAATGGCAACTTTAAAATTTAACCAGGGAGGTTAAAATGTTCTCCCACTGGTTTTTGTATGTTATCGTTCTTGATGTCTGATTTGTTCCCATTTAGTCTGTTGAGCAGAGACAGTCTGGTTTGTGCAAAGTACATGGCAGAGGAGCATATATGGCCCATGATGGCATAGATCACATTAACAGATGTGCAGGTGAACACGTCTTTGACGGCATGGATGATGTGGTTAGGTTCTATGATGGTGTCACAAAGGAAGAGGTGTGAACAGTTGGTAAACATAACAAAATTGTTAGTCTTTAAAGTGACACTGGACTTTTTTTTTTTTTTTTAAACTGAGTAGGAGTGTCTCTACTAGGGTTCCACGGGGCCCGGTACTAGGCCCAGTGCTATTCAACGTGTTCAGCAGTGATCTGGAAGTAAATATAAAATCACTGCTGACAACATTTGCCAATGACAGACTGACAGTAGTAACTGATGAGGACTAGAAAGTCAGGCAGAGTTATCTGGATTGTTTGGCAAGATGGGGGCACGTTCAGTCAAAATGTGTTTTAATATAGCTAAAGGCAAAATTACCCATCTAAGAACAAGGATCGCAGGCCAGACCTACAGACAGGGGGACTGCTGGCTCTGAAAAGAATTTAGAGGTCATAGTAGATGAGTAACACAATATATTCCCAGTGTGATGCTTTGGCAAAAGGCGAATATGATCCTTGGATGAATAAATAGGAGAATAATGAGTAGAGGTAGGGAGGGCACAGAAAACAGCCAAAAAATCATTTGATGGCTGGAGAAAATGCCTTATAGCGAGAGACTTAAAGAGCTCAATCTGTTTAGCTTATTAACAAGACAACTAAGAAGTGAGTTGATTACAAGTCCCTTCACAGGGAGAACATACCAAATATTAAGGGCACTTTAATCTAGCAAAGAAAGGCAGAACAAGAAGCAATGTGTGGAAGCTAAAGCCAGACAAATTCAATTAGAAAAAGGCTCACATTTTTAACAGGGATTGTGATTAACTATTGGCGCAAACTACAAAGAGGAATGAGGGGTTTCCCATTTTTGGTGTCTTCAGATCAATACCAGATATCTTTCTGGAAGAGAAGCTTTAGCCAAATACAAGTTATACTTCACTTAATGAAAAGGTAACGGTGAAAATTAGATGGCCTGTGATGGGCTTGAAAATAGTAGATGCGTATCAGTAAATGTTGGTGAATGACATTTTCATTGTACACATACAAGCCAACAGAAATATTTCCATTGATAAATTTACAGCTAGGGAAAATTTTAAAAATGCTGATGATGAACTTAGATGTAATGGTATTTATTTGATTATTTTGGCATGTGATATTCACAGTTTGTGTTTTAGACAGTGAAAATTTAAATAGACAAATAAATAAATGCTTAAAAAAAACCTTCTGTTAATGACTGTTGAAGTTACCAAAAAAAAAAAAAAAAATCGAATTCTGCCAAGCCTACATATACAGGCTGGATCATTTAATGGTCCCTTCTAGTCTCAGACTCTGAATTTATAAACCTTGAATTTTCTGTTCCCTGTGCATATTCATCTGCCTACCACCACCTCCACAATACTGCTAATTGTACCTAGAGCCCTGCAAGCCTCCAGATATCCGTTTTGTATGCATGGGTGTGGATGAGGAGATCTGCAGCTCATTTTTACAGGTATGTATGCGGATACAAACTTGTATCTGTGCAGGGCTCTAGTTGTACCACTGCTTTAACTCCATCTCTCCTAAACGTCTCATTACTGCCTCAGAATTCGTTTTCGCACGTATCTTCCCCTTTAGTCTCTCCAAACTCCAAGTCCATGAACTCCAGTAGATGCACAATGCTGTATATTCTCTCCCATCAAACTCTTCACCCCAGCTCTACCCTCCACCTTTGCAAATTTTCCTGTTAGTTTCCAGATGCAGATCAAAAGTACTCAAAACACCCACACCATTCAGACATGCAGACACCGCTCACAGGCAGCGGTCAGCCACCTCGAGCTCCGGGGCGAGAAAAGCTGCTCCCGGTGCCCCTGGTCTGCTGGAGACGGTCCCCAGCAGACCAGGGGCACCGGGAGCAGCTTTTCTCGCCCCGGAGCTCGAGGTGGCTGACCGCTGCCTGTGAGCTCCGGGGCGAGAAAGCCCCGTTCGTAAGTGCGGATCCGACATAAGTCGGATGCGTGTAAGTCGGGGACTGCCTGTACCGTTAAGCTTCTAAATCATGGGAGATGAACATGGCAATTCGCACCTCATACAGCTCAAGCAGTCCTCAGCATTTGCAGCCCAAAACGTGAGCATTTTATTTGCAACGAAAAAGTAGCCGCATTATTTAGTGGAAGCCTAAATGTGACAAACTGATGGACAAGCATGGAATTTGCTGCTTATTGCCTCCGTTCAAACTGGTACTCTCAGCTGCAAGACATGGCTGCAATTCTGCAAATTAATCCAAATACGAACATTTTAACACAAGCTGGCACCAGTTTAGACAGCAAAGGTGCTCATTCTGAACTTCACAGGGCAATGCTTACATGTTGGCCGTTTGGGTGGGGAAGCAGCAGTGTTTCTCGGACCGGCAGCTGTTGTAACTGGAGATGCTGTCGTCGTCTTGGGCGTGGTGGGGCTTCCCTTTGCAGCAGCTCGAGGTGTCGTGGCAGACAGTGGCTTTGAAACTGAGGTCCGTTTTTCTGGGCTCTTTGCATCTGTTACCTGATAACGAAAGGCCACACTGAAACCGTGGTCCATTTACAAACATGACTCAAGAAATAGCTGAAAGAGTTTGGAAAGCACTGATACTCCTTTTGAAAACTGCTGAAGCACAACTTTTTGGAGACTTAACTACAAAAGTTCTGTAACACTGACATTATAAAACCAATGTCCTATTGACATGAAAACCTGAGGCTGGTTATATTTAATGAAGGACACATGGGACTGTGAGGCTGGTGCACCTAAAATTCATTAGTATCTGGGAAGCTCCACCAGATTCCCGGCTGATAGGAGTAGTCCATTCGGACACTAACAACATACTTATTTTGCCTCCACTGTTCTTTTTCAGTCACTAGCTCCCTAGCATCATGTCTCTAAGCTCTGGAAGAGGAAGCTATTTAATTACAAGCCAAGATGCTTTCCAGGCTAAAAAGGCATTTGGCAGATCATCTGGAACACAATATATTAATCAATTTATGAACTGATTCATAAGGAAAATAGAGAATGGTCCATTCCTTCCTAGAAGACTAAACAGATGGACAACTTGACTGCAACATCCACAGAAACCGGAAATAATTTCGTATTGGGATTTTAGACAAGTAACTATGGAAGGGGGAAATGAAAGTAGGATTACTTTCTCTAAAAAAGCAGTATTTCAATCAGAATATATATTGGCTTTGTTCAGCCAGACACATTTATTTGCTTTTTTGTAACCACCTGTTCGGGGGCACTCAGACACAATCCTTTAAATCTGCGTTTGACAAGTAAGGCTTTAAACATACTGACAAATGTAAAGAGTTACAGCTGACGTTTATTTTTAATATTCCTTTGCAGTTTTTGTACTACTACATGAGAAAAAACACGCAAAGTTATAAACCAAAATGTCTTGCTTCAAACTGGATGTAAATGTAATAGTTGATTCCATTTAAACATCTAGGGTGTGTCTACACTACAAAGTTAATTCGAACTAACAGACGTTAGTTCGAATTAACTTTGATAGGCGCTACACATACAAACCGCTAGTTCGAACTTAATTCGAACTAGCAGTGCGCTTAATTTGAACTAGGTAAACCTCATTCTACGAGGACTAACGCCTAGTTCGAATTAAGGGCAGTGTGGCCACTTAATTCGAACTAGCGGGAGGCTAGCCCTCCCCAGCTTTCGCTGGTGGCCACTCTGGGCACCACCAGGGAAACTCGTATGCCCCCCTCCCGGCCCCGGAGCCCTTAAAGGGGCACAGGCTGGCTACGGTGCCAGGTGCAAGCCTGCCAGCACCCAGCCAGCAGACCCTGCACCTGGCACGGCACAGAGCCACCCACCCGATGTCCCCCAGCCCACCC